AGGGGGAGCAGAGGGGAAGCAGAGGGCAGGGCCGGGCTGGGCACCCTCCGTGCCCGGCCCCGCTCCGCGCAGAACGTTTATTTTTAGAGCACTTACCGCTGCTAAAACATACTTGGACTGTTTTCAGGCTGACTCACGGCCGAGTTCCTGTGCTTCTGCAGGCCCGGTTTGCTGTCCCCACCCAAAACGAGGGAAGACAAAGCAAAATGAAACTAAAAAAGCCCCCGGCTGGACCCAACCCGCTGCAGCAGGGCCGAGGGGAGCAGGGGAGCGGGGGGTCCCACCGAGGGGTGTCCTGCTGCCACCTGGGCCACACCGGGCAGAGCCCCAGGGCTGTGAGGGGCCTCGGAGCTGGGAGCACTGGGGCTGGGGGAGCAGAGCTGGAACCCGAGCTGGTTTGGGCAGAGTGATGCATTTCACCCTGGAAGTTGGATTTTTCCAATCTGAGCCCCAAGACCTGACAAGCAAAGCAGGCACATCCACAGGGAGGGAGGAAAAGGGTCCTCTTCACTATCAGCCAGTTTGAAAGGAACTTCAATGTGTTGCAGACTATTTATTCTTTTCCAAGATAATTTCTGTAAGGAATAATTTATTTCTTTTTCCAATCACAGTTTTGCTATTTTTAATTGCAGGAGCAGAAGCACCACAGCAAAACGCATAACAATCTCCTTAACTATTTGAGGCAATGGCAGGAGGTGGGGCTTTCAGAGGCTCCTCTGAACCAAAGGAACAACCAGGGTTGTCTCAGCAGGTGGAGGGGACCAGAGCCCAGCGGGTCTCAAGCCCAGCCGGGGCTCGGAGGAGCTGTTGGGGAGCTCCCCGGCTGACCAGGATGAAATGAGGCTCGGACACAGGGTGTCTGAGCTGATCCAACCCCCCTTCGCCTGTGCTGCAGCCCCAGCGCTGCTGCAATGCAGGTTGCAGCCACAGGAGAGCAGGAGGAGCTCGGGCTCCTGCCCAGACCCCGCAAAGCCTGGGGGCTGAGCACAAGGGTTCTTACCTCGGGGCTTCACTTTAACAGCTGCAGTTTAGTACCATCATCACCATCTCTTCCTCACTCCTGTGCTTTCTAACACTGCTGATGCATAGATGGGATGTATCTGAATGTTCCCTGCTAAATTCTCCTTCTAGAGGGAGCTGGAATCTACTACTCGATATTTATCATTCATTGTCTTCTTCCATTCTGAACGGATTGGTTCTACAGCATGGGGTTTTATTTAGGCTTTATATCTGTTTTATGTCTTATTCTTCCCATAGAGTGCAGTCAGACTTGCCTTTCATAGTTACTGTGGATACACTGACCCCTCAGCTTTGAGTAGGAAGTGGATTAGATGATCTCCTGTGGTCCCTCCCAGCCTGTGCTACCCTGTGACCCTATGGCACTACGTGTTTTTGTATTATTAAACAGAAAACATTTCCTGGGATTAAGCAAGGGCTGGTCTTAGTATAAATGGTCAATAAAATCCCAGTTCCTCTTCCTGCAGCTTAGGTGGCCCACAAGCCCAGCTGCTGGACCACAGCATCTGCAGTGAAGACACTGAAAAGAAGGAAACATGGAAATGATCATACAAGGCACAAACCAACTGTCACCAGGGTGGAAATTTGGCAAAAATAAGTGCAGTGGGAGCAGCAGCACTTGTCCCTGTGGCCCAGCTCGATGCTGCCCCCAGCCCTTGGTGTTGCTGCTTCATGGGAAACTGCTGCTGTGATGTTGGAACAGCCTTCTTGAATGGCATAGAAACAGAAAAGGGCTCAACAGCTGCCAGCCTGATCCTGCTTAAAGCAGAGCTATAGAAGCCCTTCAGAATTTCAGCTAAAGGAGTTAATAACCCATTTCTTAGTTAGCCTCTGTCTTTTGGCTTGTCCTTTGATGGTATGATCACACAAACTAAAGAAACAATAACAGCAGTTATAAAAACCCAGATAGTGATATGATGGATGGGAGCTCTGTTAAGCAGTGCTGAGCCCTGAGATGCACAGGCACCAGTTTCTAACTTTGTACCTTTTTTATGATGGATAGGTAGGGTAGGTTTAGAGATGATGGTTCCTAGCTGGGTGCCCAAGGGACAGGGAGTGGGGCACAGGGCAGCAGCTCAGGCAGCTCTGCACGTGCAAAGGAGCAGATGCCCCTGCTCACCTCAGCGGACACAGCAAACCCAGTAATTGAACGTGTTCATCCATACGAGCTGACACTACCCACTGTTTACAGAGAAAAGCCACCTCCTGGCCATTGATCACCTAGACACAGGCTGCCATGTGCTGCACTGCTGTGTCTCCAGTGGGGAGGGGGCAGTGGCATCCAGGGGGCCCCAGCTCCAGCCTGGGCAGGAGAGCAGGGCTGGACCCCACCAGACCCAGCAGGACCAGGACAGAGGTGCCTCCTCTTCCAGCAAAGCCAGCTGGAACATCTGAGCCTGGATCTTCCACACATCAGAGCAACTTGAGCTTCTGCAGGCTGCTGGGAAAAAAACAAACCTTGCTTTGGTAATACTGGGACAGGACCCATGTCCTCATGCCTTGGTCATGGTGGCTGTGACATGTGCCAGCTTCAGAGCATCCTGTGCCCACCCAGGGGCAGAAGCATGCTGGGTGAGCACTGGGCAGGGTCAGCTGCCTCTCCCCAACAAGCCTCACCCTCCCACAGGCTTCCTGAAGGGGCTGAGGTGTGTTTTCTAATACCCTCAGGAATGGGCTGTGGCTCACCATTCCCAACCAGGCCTGATTAAGTTGATCTCATCACACTCCCAGTGCTCCCAGGGGAGCTGCCTATCTGCCCCTGCCCTCCTGCACAGGCAGCTGGGAGCTGGCAGTGCTGCCTGAGCCCAGCCTTGCATAAGCTGTTCTGGCAAGTACCTCACAGGCAGAGAGAGGGTTATTTCTCTTCTGCCTTCTCCTTCTTTCCTGCCCTGCCTTCCACTGGGAGCTACATGTACACATGTAAAGAAAAACCCAGCAGCTCCTCTCGTGCCCCACATGAGCCCATTCACAAGAAGCCACTCCTGAGCCAACAGAGGAAAGCCCCCAAGAGATGCACTTTTAGAACTGAAACAGTTTTTTGAACAGTCCTGGCCACTGCAAAGGCAAAGGTGAGCCTGCTAAATGTGTGTCAGCTGTACCTGTAGTGCTGTATGGTGCTTTCCCTGGAAGAAAATTCCTCTTTAATGTATTAGTCTCCAACTTTGAAAAGGGAATGTTTGGCCCAATGGTGGAAATTCTTTCCTAGCTCCTTTTGTATTGGGCTGGCCACATGCAATGTCACACCTGGCTGAGTTACTGTCTCTGGGTGCTACCTACAATGGACCTTCCAAACAAGGACTATCTATAATGGAAACTCCAGCACAGCCTTATCTGTCCCAGGCTGTGCTGCCAGGGCACACATGATGGATCTTTTTTCCACCACTGACAGAGCGATTTAGTGATCTGTGTGTAAAGACCTGTTACAAAGCAAATAAAGGGGGGTGGGGGGATGGGGAAAGGGTTTGCACACATTGCTTTCCAGTCATGACTGAGGTTATCCCCCCCCCCAGACACCCCACTCCCCCTGCTGGCACAGCCTGGCTGCTGCTTCCAGCTGTGCCAGCTGTGCCAGCACAGGAACCACTGCTCGGCTGTGGGCCAGCAGCACTTGCTGCAAACAGGAAAAGGGGGGAGCAGTGGTTGCCTAGAGGTCAGATAGCAGATAAACAGATAAGTCAATACAAAGGAGGTGCTTTTGAAACAGGGTACCCATTTTATGATCAGGGAGGTACCAACGGAGCAGGGACAAGTATCACGGATGGACACCACATCAGGAGACAGAACTGAACTGAATCCAGGGTCCTTCCCCCTACCTGGGGAGCAGAGAAACCCTGGGCAGCACAGACAGGGATAAGACCAAGGGAGAACAAGTTCTGCTGCTGCAGCAATTCCTCAGGGATGTTGAGCAGAGAACTGGGTCCTCGTTAGCTCCTGCATCATTATCAGAACTGGTAAAGAAGTTTGAATCGTGAGGTCCAAACTCTGCTTCAGGCTATACATTCTGCTCACACTTACAGGTCATTACATTAAAGTTAAGTCAATCTGTATTTTGAAGAGTGACTGCTTGCCCAGCAGCCCCAGTGGGGTATGAAGGCAAATCTCAGTTACAAACGTAAGAGACAGATTTTCTTAATCTTACTTCTGCAAACTGAATCCAGGGTCCATATCAAGGAGTGGATGAGCCTGGCTGCACATGTCTGTGCTGTCCCATTAAATGCTTGTAAGACCAACAGCCAAACCCAGGGCTTTCAGCACTCACAAAAATACACCCAAGCCCCAGCCACAGCCTCCCCCCCAGCCCTCCCAGCCCCTCCATGCCCGAGGTGCCAGCCCTCACCACGGCAGCAGGAACTGGGAATGGCCCCAATCAGGGATTCTGGAAGGCAGAGCTCCCAGGAGGCACAGGGTCTGCAAACACTTCCATAAGGAAGTCCCAACTCTGATCCCCAGACGGTTCCAGCCGTGTGAATTCAAGCCCTGGCAGTTTCTGCAAGCCTAGGCCCAGCCCAGCATGAAGTTCCAGCTCACTGAGCAGCTGTTCCCTCTTGGAACTGCCAGGATGATCTGCTGTTCTCAGCATTGCCAGGCCATGGGGGAGCAGGGTGCCCAGAATATTGCTGCTGCTGGGCTGGGCGCTGCAGGCAGGGAAGCAGGAGGGCAGCACACCGAGGTCACTGCAGTCTTACAGGAACACATCAGCCCATGCACGTTCCGGAGTGCAAAGCTCTTCTAGGATCGCTCCTCCCGGCTCTGCCTCCCGCTCGGAGAGGCCTCCTGATTCACAGCCTGGCTGCTGGTTGTTGTCAGCCGGCCAAAGAGACCCCGTATTTTTGCCACCAGCAGCTCTCTGAAGTGGTCACCCATCAGGAAGTAGAACACGGGGTTAATGGCGCTGTTCAGGAAGGCGATGGGCCGGGTGAGGATGTAGATGGTGTTGATGACATCCTTGGTGCACACGGACACGTTGAGGGCCGGGATGCGGGAGGCGAGGCGGACGTTGCGCATGACGTGGTAGGGAGTGAAGAGCAGGGAGAAGATAACCATGGTGATCACCACCAGCGTGAGGGGTTTCTCCAGCGTCAGGGGGGAGCTGAGCTGCTCCCTCCTGTTGGTGAGGAAAAGAATAATCTTCACGTAGAAGCAGCACATGACCACCAGAGGGACGAGGAACCCGAAGACGGTCAGAAACAGGCTATAGATGAGGTTTTTCTCGGGGTTTCCGGAGCTTGCGTAGTCACGGCAGCTGGGGATGCTGTCAGGGGACTCCAGGAAACTGACCAGTGGCAGCAGCTCCAGTATCACCCCGACCCACAGGATGACAGACACGATAAGGGCTGTTTTTGTCTTCTGTAGGAAGTGTTCCCTGAAGGGATATTTGATGAGCATGTAGCGGTCAATGCTGATAGCGGTGAGGAAGAGGATGCTGCTGTACAGGTTCGCGTGCAGCAGGAACCTGTTGCTGTGGCACAGGCTGATCTCTGTTACCTCCTCATCTCTGGAGTAGCTGTTCACCAGTATTGGAAGAGTACACAGAAATAACAGATCTGACAATGTTAAATTGAACAAGTAGATGTTGCAACTTTTCCATTTTTTCAGGCAGAAAATATAGCCAAATGCAGCAATGATGTTTCCAGGGCAGCCTATGATGAACTCAAGGCTGTACATGGTGGAAAGATAATACTTTTCCAGGGCTCTGTTCATGGGCAAACAGCCACCTGTCTCGTTCACAGCCTGGGGAGCCAAAAGGGAAAATACAAACACTGAAAATTAGTAAAAGATCATTGCATAGCTGGTTTGTTGGTGTGGGGTTTTTTTGCTGCTGTAATAGGTATCACACACTGGTTCCTTACAGCTCATGCACTAAGCAGAGGCCTGAACCCCAAGAATATCCCTGATGCACACAGGATTTCTACTTACACGTATTGACCAGAGCTACTGAGCAAGAGGAAAACTTGCACGAGCAAAGGCCCATGTGAGGAGCCTGAAGTGAGAGCTCACCTGAAGGCATCTGCCACCACCTGCTGGGGCCTGGAAAGTGAAACTCACCTGTCCCCACTTCGTCACAGCCCTGGCTGGAAGTCATCTGCCTCCCTCTTACCCAACGCCCATCCCATGGTCCCTCACTCATCACAGAAGCAGAAGTCAAGGCTGCTCGTTGATAAACCTTGCAATAGGGCCACACTCTGACGTCGGTGCTTACAGCTCATTGAGTGCCAGGAAAGCATGTGCTCATGATGTGAACAGAACCATGATGTTGACAGTACCTGGGCCCTTCGAAGCCAGATTCACAGACTTTGTCACTTCTGTTATTGACTTCCAGTGAAGTGACAGCTCAGGGCGTGAATTATTCAGTCACAGCCCATAACTTCTGCTGAACGCAGCCCCCCTGTGTAACAGAGTGCCCCACACCCAGCCCCACGGAGGGGAGCCTGTCCCGTGGGACAGCCCCAGGCCCACGGGGCTGTTGCATCCCCGAGAGCTTCAGCAGAGCTGCCACCCTCCTGCTCTGCTGGTGCGTTTTCTCTTTGGCTCCAGGCAAAGGGCTTCTCCTCTCCCCGGGCAGTAAGCGCCGCAATCCCTGCTCTTTAAGGAGCAGAGCTTTCTAGGAAGCTGCCTTAAGCATGAGCTTCCCCAGGGACACATTCTGCCTTCTTTCTAAAGGTTGGTTACAAAAATGCTTTTATGCCACAAGAAACAGCAGAATCCAAGTGCTCAACCCTCTCCCTCAGGCAAAGACACCCGCACCCACCTGCAGGGGAAAGAGCTTTTAGCAGAGCCTCTAGTTAAAAACAAACACCAGCCAGCGAAACAGCAGGGAAAACCAATTATTAGAAAACCAAGAGATAGGTTAAGGCGGCAATGAAGCTGGACCCAGGCTCTGAAGCAGCTCTGTGACCGCCCCAAGCACCGCTCGTGACAGATCCCGCACAGACCCCGCAGCTCCCGCCGGCGCGTTGGGCGCTGCTCTGCCCGCGGGGAGCTGCTGCCGGGTCTGTGCCC